GAAATCTGTAATCGTTTCGTAAGAAAATATCAATTCTTCAGTGTCAAAGTACGAAAGAAAAATACAGAAAAATATTTTTATAAGTTGGTTGCCGAAAGATCTAGTTAGAAATAGAGAAAAATATGATGAAATCAATATTGTTAGAAACAAAAAAATTTCTACCAATTTGTCTCCTAAAGTTCTAGTTTTACAATTTTAAGATTTTCTAATTACATCTAAATATGGTTTATATTTTGTTTCATAAATCAATAGCATCCCCTTAAAATGTGATTCACATCCCTGAAGGTAATGTCCAAATTTAGCTATTTGTTCAAATAGGAAAAAAATTTATACAGGTAAATTTTTAATTAATTTAAACCTTAAATATTAGAATTTTCGCCTAATTCAAATAAGGAAAGATTTAATATGCATATTTAGTTAATTTTTAAGTCCTAAATATTAGAGAAACAATTAAATAGCTATACATATATATTAGGAAAATAACTTAAATTACTACGCTGTCCAAACTGGAATTAGTTTTTCAAGGGTAAAAAGGGGAACGATATTTCACTAATGGCCTTCGTGCTTTTAATATAATATAGATATAGATTAGGAGATATTTAGAATTGACCAACATGATGATGACATGTGTCCCTCTATTTAAATAAGGGTTATATTTGAACCTAAAATATGACTGCATATTATAACGAGAGTATTCTTAAATAATTTTCGAAAATAGAGGGTTATATTTGACCCTTTGACATTTATATTATAACAAAGTTTAATTACACTCCCTATTCCCCCACAGGTTTTAGTTTGTGACACTTAAAAACCTTCTTAACGCCTTCAGTCTCTCTCTAAATCTCCGAAGAACAGCATTACAACAATGGAGAAAAGGGAGGAGGCGAAAGAGGTGGTGGAAAACGAGGAGCAAGTAGTGAACCCATGGGAAGTATCAGCAAAAGACGGCGGCAAGATTGACTACGACAAACTAATCGATAAATTCGGTTGCCAGAGGCTCGACGACTCCTTAATCCAGCGTGTTCAACGCCTCACGAATCGGCCGGCTCACGTTTTCCTCCGCCGCGGAGTTTTCTTCGCTCATCGTGATTTCAACGATATATTGGGTGCTTATGAAAAAGGGCAAAAGTTCTATTTATACACAGGCAGAGGACCTTCTTCTGAAGCCTTGCATTTGGGTCACCTTATCCCCTTCATGTTCACAAAGTAATTAAATTAAACGGGAGGACGTGTTTGCAATTTTTTTTCGAAAGAAGTTTTTTTCTTTTTTGTGTGTGAATTTATTTTGTTTTTGTTGTGTTTAGATATTTGCAGGATGCATTTAAGGTGCCGCTAGTAATACAATTGACAGATGATGAGAAATGTATGTGGAAGAATTTGTCAGTGGAAGAAAGCCAAAGACTTGCTCGTGAGAATGCTAAAGATATTATAGCTTGTGGATTTGATGTTTCCAAGACTTTCATTTTCTCTGATTTCGATTATGTTGGTGGGTAAGTAACTTTGTTTTTTTCCCGATTGTGTTTGGTACTCTTACGGAAGTTGTTTATCTTGAGACTCCTTTTTTGATATTTCTCAGTGTTTAGTAGGTAAGCAAGAATATATATGGTAATCATACAAGGAGTTGTATACAGTATAAAGATACTGTTTTGGTGATATTTTGAGTTAAAAAGTTGAAAATAATGTCTAACAGATGATTGAAGCAACTGATAAAGCATGACATGAGAGTTGGGATATTTTTTATGGAAAGTGTCCTCAATGTAACAATATTTTTTCTTTAGGGGGGCGGGGAGAGGAGGTGAATATGTTATTTGGTTTTCATGTTTACATTTGTTGCTATGAAAGTGATTAGACTGAAAGTTGCCTTTTAGAATGATAATTTTAGCTTTACATGGTATGTCATAAGTAGAATTTAATTTTGAGCCGAGGGTTTATCGGAAACAGCCTCTCCACCTTCATGAGGTAGAGGTAAAGGTGTGCGTACAGATTACCCTCCCTAGACCCCACTTGTGGGATTCCACCGGGTTGTTGTTGTTGTCATAAGTAGAATTTAAGTGGTCGTAGTCGTACAAGGATGCAATCAACTTGTGTTTTCTTTTTGCTTTGTGTGTACAGCTCCAGGAGTTGTATTTACATAGTTTTATGGTCCGTTTCTAACAAGAACTTTTTGCACAGTGCCTTTTACAAGAACATGGTGAAGGTTGCAAAATGTGTCACATACAATAAGGTGATTACTGCTTACTTTACATCTACAGGAGCATCTTATGTTAAAAGGCTTTTGACCTATTACGCTATGCGGTTTGTTTTTCAGGTGGTTGGCATTTTTGGTTTCACAGGTGAAGATCACATTGGGAAAGTTAGTTTTCCACCAGTTCAGGTAGCCTCCTCCTCAATGTGATAGCCATAGTCTGTCTATTAACTTACTCTAACTTTTTTTTAGATTTTGTTATAATACCAAAGTTAGTGAAGTATATGTGCCTTATGTTTCGTATTTGTTTTCTTATTTTCATGTCAAATAGATAAGTTGAGAGCCTGAAGAAGTTGGAATAGTATACCTTATCCATGTGATAGCCATAGTCTGTCTATTAACTTACTCTAACTTTGTTTTAGATTTTGTTATAATACCAAAGTTAGTGAAGTATGTGCCTTATGTTTCGCATTTGTTTTCTTATTTTCATGTCAAATAGATAAGTTGAGAGCCTGAAGAAGTTGGAATAGTATACCTTATCTCC